GACACACACGACACACACGACACACACGACACACACGACACACACACACACGATGTGAGCAACTCACGGGCGAGCGAACATACAACAAAAGTGGTTACGTACGTAGGTCTCCATGAGCCGAACCTCGAGCAGGTCGATCTCGCAGTCCAGCGGGAAGACGACCACCACGCGCACGGGCTTCTCTCGCGGCTTCACCATCGCCCGCACGTCCGCCGGCAGCCACTCCGCCCCCTTGTCCTTTTTTTTTGTTTTTTTGTTGGACCCAAAAAAGAAAGGCGTAGAAGATGGAAGGCGTAGAAGAGAGTACCTCCTTGAGGAAGCGCTTGGCCTGGTCGGGCGGCAGCAGGGGCAGAAGGGGCGCGCTCCAGTCGAAGGTGGGCGCGTCGGCGCTGTGGGGGTTGAGCAGGGTGTGGAACCGGCTTTGGGGCGGTTGCGGGCGATGATGTTGGGCGACGACGGTGGTGACGACGGTGGTGGTCGTCGTGGTGGTCTCAGTCTCGACGCCCGTCTTCGGGTCGACCACGGTGGTGGTCGTCGTGCTGGTTCGTGTCTCCGTGCTGGAGGTGGCCGACACTTCCTCGTTTTTGCGGGGCGTCGAAGAAGAAGAAGAAGATGGACCGTATCGTACGACCTCACCTTCATTCGGGCTCTCGTTCGAAAAAGATGAACGAAGCATACGTCCCCCTGTACACGCCCAGGCCCGCACATCAACAACAAGAACAGCAACACCTGCAAACCAGAGAGATCTTGGTCGGAGAGGTCTGAGGGTACCTTGGATAACATCTACGGTCAGGTAGAGGCCGAGGGCCAGCCCGAGCAGAAGCAGGAGGGTGCGCCATTCCAGCCGTGCCCTGATGTGGGGCTGCCCCCAGCCACGTTCTTCCATGAAGGCGAGGAGGTTTCGTCTTTCGCTTTCTCTTATCCCTCCCTTTATGGCAGAACTATCTCCCCCGACGAATCGGAGTGTCGCGCTTTGTGGGATCTCCTCTTCCGGTTGGTGAAGTTCGGCTCATTTTGCTCTGTGCTCCGCCCCACACAAAAAGGCTTACAAGGCCGAACGGGAAAAAGCCAAGGCCTTTTCAACATGGAGGCTGGCCCATCGCGAACAAGCAGACTGTAGCCCCCAATGTTCTTCCAGCAAAACCGCCCCAGTGTCCTGGTGATTGATTCAAGGGCTCAGACCCAAAGCTCACTCAGGAGCTGAAGGTGGTGCCTGCTACTCCAACACGTTTGTGTAGACGTGTGTGTCTGCATGTCTGCAAAGTGGATCTCTCTTCTGATTGATGAAGTCACACCAACTTGGAGGCGAGGTACTGCTGGAAGCGCTGTGCGTACATGGACGGCTCGACTGCAGAGAGCTGGTTCTGGCACCATCGCACACGCACCACCGCACACGCACACGCACACGCACACGCACACGCACACGCACACGCACACGCACACGCACCATAAGAGTTGAGCTTCGTCTGACGAATCTGTAGAAGATCTCAGGGTGGTGGTTAGTACCTGAGCAAAGAGGACGCCCTTGATCTTGGCCTCGCACACCTTGCGCAGGGTCCACGGCTGCATGAGGTCGATCACGCCAAAGTAGTACAGCTCCCTCTCCTCGTGCAAACCGCCATCGCCGCTCCTGCACAGCAGCGGTAGAGTCAGACCACCACGCGCGCGCCTGTGACCGGGGTAGCAGACGCCGTGGCCCGCGGACGATAGACCACACGACATACCGAGCAAGCACGCCGCCGTCGTGAAAGTGGATCGGGCCGCCTTCTTCCAGCTCTCGCCTGTCCGGTGGTCGGTGAGTTGCCTTGTCTGACACACGACACACACGACACACACGACACACACGACACACACAGGAATGCGATAGCCACGCACTTCTGTAGGGCAAGCAGTTCGTCGTGGGTCATCTTGTGGATGCCCACGAAGAAGCTGTAGTCCATGATCCCGCACGATTCCAAGAACTGTTGTCACGCGTGCGCGCTTTGTGTGAGCGCCGCGCATGGTCGCGGTGTATCACCCTCAGTGTGGGGGGGGGTTGGTACGTCACCTTGCAGTCGTGGGCCAGTTGCTGTAGCACACTGCTTCGCAGTGGACCCAGGTACAGGCTCCGCCCCAGGAAGTCCTGGTCTCTAATTCACAGCCGTGAGCTCGCGCAGAGCAGGGCGAGAAGGGAGAGCAGGGAAAGAAAAACCGTAGCGTTCGCGAGGCATCGTTGGTGGCGGTCAGTCGGCCCTCCACACAGCCCTGGGAGATGACGCGGTGGAGGTGGCGGTGGAGCGCAGTGTGCGTGGGAAGGTGGACGACAGACAGCGGTGTGGTGTGTGGTGGTGGGAAGGGTGACGCACCTTGAGGTCGTACCGCAGGTGAATGGGTCGCTCGGGCGACGAGAAGACGTGGGCCATCACCACGAAGAACTCCCGCCCCTCGTCCGTCTGTAGCGAGTGGAGCCCTAGAAATTTGCACAAGAGCGTCGACTTGTGCTTGTCCACGTGCTGGCCATTCGACCGCACGCACGCACGCACGCACGCACGCACGCACGCACACATGCACACGCGCACACACACCGAGCGCACAATACCAACAACCACTGTCAGTGAGCCAGGCGAAAGGGTCGTCAGTAGCCCGACATACCTCGAAGTAATCGGAGAAGATGGAGCGAAGAAACCGCCACTCGCCGTTGGTGATCGTCTTGACAATGAATCGCCTGGTGGGTGATGAGAGAGAGAGAGAGAGAGATGAGCCAACAAACCAGCAGTGGTGGCCGCGACACACTGTACCGGTCGACCGAGGTGAAGAAGGAGCTGCCGCTCTTGCCCTCCGACCTGATCTGCTCCAGGTGCTGGAACGAGTCCTGTGGGAGAGATAAGCGTAGGTTGGCGTGGGCGTTGTGATGTCTACCGAGAACGTGTTGGGAGGGAGGAGGGGAATGCGAACAGACGTACCGTGAGCTGGGCGAGAGAGGTGCCGTGCTTGGCCAAGAGCTGCGCGAACGCCGACGGAGCAAACGAGCCGAACCTGAATATGCGATCACCGACCTGCCCGTGGTACTTGAAGACCCGGTACTTGGCCTCCTTTCCGGGGGTCGTAGTCTCTGCGCCGTCTCGGCTGCGGTCGAGACTCTCATACTGAGAGTCGACGCCATACATTGATGAGGCGGCCCGACACGCGCGCGCACAGGCGTAGGACTGTACGTACGGTCGTGCGCAGGCCTGCGTGGATGAACGGCGGCAGCTGCTGGCGGTCGACCGACAGCAGAGCGCAGCTACGGGGCATCGAGGCGTGCCAGGGGCGAGTTAGTGGCGTTGTGGACCACAAAATTTGTGGAAAGAAGGCCTTTGGCTCCACATACCTCATTGGTCCGCGTTTGATCTCCTCAGCCCCGGGAAGCAGCTCGGCCAACACCAGGTTCTGGAGAGGGAGGGAGACATGGAAGGGCAGATTAGCCCGTGCGAGAAGAGGACCACGACTGCGCGGTGCTGGGTGTTTGGCGCGCGCGTGTTCTACCTTGGCCTCCACCTGCAGGATCTGATCAGAGCTGTGCTTGTAGTGGAGCTGCAGTGCATAGGGGGCGACCAAGAGCGACATGCCGCTCGAGTAGAGCGACTTGATCACCGGCTGGACATCTGGCCAGGCAGGAGACAATCAGCGTTCAGCTCGCACAGCACAGCACAGCCACCATCGAAGGACTGGAGGTATTACCAGGTTGGGCGATCACGTCACGGACGATGGCCGGGATGGACCTTCGCGCTTTGTTGGCCTTGTGACCTTCCACCGACTGACCATGGCCCATCACATCAGCGCAAGCTGTGGGCGACGAGCAGCAGAAGCTGTGCTGGGGGAGGGAAAGAGGGGAGGGGGGGGGTGCCTGCAGAAGATCCTCGATTCGGATGTCGGCTTCGCTGTGGCGCAGGAGCGACACCCAGGGCAGTAGCCAGCTGAACTGTTCGCCCAGCTGCCCGAACGCGCTGTTCCAAGGCACCGACACCAGCACATGTCAGGGACAACGCTGTAAGGTGTGCCTCGCTTGAGACCCACGTGGGTCGCTGAACGTGAGGCGGCGGCTCACCTGGTGGGGTCCTTGAATATCTTCAGCAGGGACTTGCGAAAGGCCAACGAGAGCTCCACAGTGTGCCCGTTGATCATTGATCTGCGTTTCGCCCGGCACCAGTTAGGTTGGCCTTGGGGGGGGGGGTAATTGTGGAGGAGGGGCCTCTGAGCGCTATGTAAGTACCGAAGGAAGGGTCCCTTATCGCTGGCGTAGTGCTTGAGCCCTTCGCCTTCGATCTTCACCTGTAACTCCTATTACAATTTTTTTTTAAAAATGATGAGTTAAAAGGTTGAAAGAGAGACTCGCGGAGAGAGTGAGAGAGCGAGAGAGAAGATACCTCAAAAGAAGAGAGCAGGGTCTGGAGCTCCTTCTGCGCGGTCGGGTGCTCGAACCCGAACACGATGACAAATAACCGCTCCCCGTTGGCGCCCTTGCCCAGCTTCACTGTGCGAAGGAAGGATGGCATCTGTCAGTCCCCGATCCCAGGGGCGCGGTGGTACTCTGTGACCCTTCGAACCTTTGTGCGTGCACTGCAGGCTCTTCCCCGCCGTCGTCAGGATGTCGCGCAGGCAACCGGACAGCTCGCCCACCTCGAAATCTGCAGACGAACAACCTCTTCATAGTGAATGGGCTGCTCTTTTGACACACTTCACACTTCACACACACACACGACAAAGCGGGGAGGTAGGTCAGCCGACGCACCATCGACGCCCTCTTTGATCACAAAGGACAGGGAGCACAACACCGAGTCCCTGCTGGCCTTTGGGATGTCCTTGGCCAGCTGAGCGACTGCGCAAGCGAGCAGAAGCAAAAGAAAGAGTGTTAGGCGCAAGCGTGATGGAGCACCACAGTGTGCTGTGGGGACTACGGTGGTAGGTCGGTAGGTACCGACGTCGGGTGCTCGCAAAAGCCGGATGGTGAGCGAAGAGGTGGTGGCAGGGGACCCGATGGTGATTCGCCCGCGAACGTTGACGACTTCTGGGCCGGACAGGGACAGCTCCCTGATGATGCAGGGATCCAAGGCCAGAGGAGTGAGTACTGCGCGGCCGCACACGCACACACAACACGCAGCACACGCACACACGGCATGCGGCAGACCTGATGGCTCTTCGCATTGATGGAGAGGCGGAAGAGGGAGAGAAGAGGCCCGATGACGAGGCCGGCCCATACAGGGCCTTGTCGTGCAGCTTGCTGAAGAGGAAGTAGGCCATCTTGCAGAACTCCCTCGCCGAAGCATGCATCTTCTGCAGGTGCTGTTCCTTCTTCCTCTGCTGCTTCTTCAACTTGGTCGTTTGAGTGTGGCGCACTGCGCCTGCGCCAACATGATTAAAAGGTTTTAATTATTTAATTATAATAACTAAAATTTGAAATAAATGATTGAGTAAAATAAAATAAAATAATAAGTTATATATAATTTCGATTGGGGAGTACCCGTTCGAGCTGGATAATCGACGATTGGATGCAATTCAATCTTGGATTGTTGCAGCTCGAGCCGCGCCGTGAGCTCGGCGATCTCCTGTCTAAGCAGCCTGTTTTCCTCCTCCATCTTCAAGAGAACACAACCGTGGATGTGTGTCTCTTGAGTACGTCTGTTTCGCCGAATAAATATCTTCTTTAGTCCTTTTATTAATTTATTAATATTTATTAATATTTTATCTTATTCGAGATGGAAGACACGAACGAGAAGGAGGCTGTGCTTGTTGGTGAACACGTCGAGGTTCGGCCGGGTCGGGTGCTGCACATCTGGCAGCACAAAAACGAAGATGACGAAGAACGCGAGCGACCAGTCATGCTCTTCGTCCACGGTGCGGGCGGCAGAAAAGAGGTGCTCTACTCTTCCCCCCCCCACAAATCCATCCATTCAAGTTCCTTCCATGGCCGCCTTGCTCAATCTATGTTGGTCGTGTTGGCCCATCTTCGAGCGTAGCAATGGCAGGCACAGATAGACCACTTCAAGGAGACGCACGACGTCCTGGGTACACGTCGAAGCTGAAGCTGAAGCTGAAGATGAGGTGCTGGCGATGGCGCTAACGATGGTGGTGGTGCGCAGCGTTCGACATGGTGGGCCACGGCCAGAGCAACGCAGTGGGGGACTGGTACGGCTACGCCACCGCCCACCTACTCCAGGACCTCCTGGCCATCGTGCAGCGCTTTGTCGGTACGTGCGCCCACCGCTACACCACTTCGCGCGTCCAACCTTTCAGAGCGCTTGCCATGGGCTTATATCGTGCCGTGCGGTGATGCGTGTGTGTCGTGTCGTTGGTCGTGTCGTTGGTCGTGTCGTGTCATGCGTGTGTGTCGTGTCGTTGGTCGTGTCGTTGGTCGTGTCGTGTCGTGTCGTGTCGTGTCATGCGTGTGTGTCGTGTGTGCTTAGATCCGAAGCGTGAGGACAACGTGCTCGTGGCGCACTCCTACGGGACGGTGATTGCGGTCAAGCTGCTCGCGCATTTGCACCGCCATCACGTCGAAGAGTCAAATGGATCGGGAGAGGATGAAGGGGCTGCTGCCGGCGCACGCAATGCGTGTGCCTACTTCAGAAAGGTGGTCCTTGTCGGTGCCGCCGGTGATCAGCCTGCGGGGACCACCCACCCAATTTGGTAGCGTTGAGGCCGCACGACACACACCGACACAACACACACTCATACAAACGCACCAACATTGACTATGGAGTGTTGCAGGTACCTGCCGTCGTTCGCGCTTGAGTGGATCCGACCTGTGATGGGCAAAGGGTTCGTGGACAAGGCCTGGCACCCCGCCACGGACAGGTGCGTGAGCCACACACACACACACACACAACACACACACAACACACACACACACACAACACACACCACACGACGCCTTCTTGGAACACTCACCCAACCGCTCACACATGCACACACATGTGTGCTTGCACCACTATAGGGAGTTGGTCCTGCGCGAAGCCAACATCGCCGCCACGAATCCCATGCACGTGTGTACCCCCCCCCAAAGGTGCACCACAGGGCCGGCGGCACCACCGCCCAACTGACGCGCGACCCTCTCTTTTTCTTTGTCTCTGTTTGTTGGCTTTCTCAATGTCTCAGGTCATGGTACGGGGATGATGAACAACCACTGACCAGCCCCAGCGGGCGGTGTACCTGCTGCGCGCTTGCATTGCCTAATCTTTACCCACCTACCACCCACCTCCCCAGCGGCCCCTCTTTCGTGGGATGGAATGGCAGCTCGAGGACGACGCTTCTTTGATCGTCGGCGCCCGATTCCTCTTCATCTCGGGAATCAACGATGGTGCGTCCCCACTCAATTTCTTTTAATTACAATTTGCAATCTTACAAATAATGATGTATTTGCCAGGCATCACGCCCCACCAGTCGGCGACACGCCTTGCAGAGTGGCTCCAAGACATGAACTCGGTAGAGCCCAGCCACCCCACAGCTTGCGCGTCTCATGCCTCTCTCCCCCTTGCTCACTCGCATGCATGCGCTTCGCCTCCCTTGCCCCCCACCCCCACCCCACAAACCGCTGTGCAGGTGTTGGTCGAGGTTCTCGACCAGTCGGGCCACATGCCGCACATGGAAGTGCCGCGCACGGTCAACGCGCTCATCCAGGACTTGGTCGTCCACCATGAATTGTAGTGCGAGAATGTACCCCACATTTACTACTCCCCCTGTGCCCTCCCTCCCCACCCAAAAAAAGCATAACTAAGCCGGGGCTCAGTGGCCGAGGAGGCCCGCGCTGCGCTTCTCGTGGAGGAACCGCTGCATGTGGGTCATCCGCTCGCACGGGAGGCTGGCGTCCTCGGAGCACTCGGCGCCGGTCCAGCCCGCCTCGCACTCGCACGTGTCCTCCGCCACACACGTCCCGTGCCCGCTGCAGTAGTTGACGTTGAAGCAGGTGATCTCCTAAACACATGGCAAGCCCCAACCACAGCCGTAAGAAGGCCACCGCACACGAACGCAACACGACACACAGCACGCGCCACCGCACACGGCACACGAGGAAGAAGAAGTCGTTACCCTGGGGATGACCAAGAGGTTGCCGGTGATGGTGAGTTTGGACCCGCTCTTGATGGAGAGCGAGGAGACGCGTGCGGTACTGTCGAGCTCGGATTCGGCTCCTTCGTCCAGCACGACGTCGGAGGTCTTGTCCGGCACCTCGCCCTCCTCCCAGTTCTCGGCATCGTCCCACGACGTGGACGTGGCGTTGCTCGAGAATGAAGACTCAGCATAGGGGCAAGGGGTGGCCTCCGGTTCAGTCCTGCCAGCTGAAGTGCGCGAGGAGATACAGAGGTAAGAGGGGGAGGAGAAGGGGGGGGGAAGGCGAGCGGTTACCACAGGCACAGCCAAAGAAGAGGCCAACCAAGAGGATCACACCCAGATGGAGGAGAGCTGTGGAACGTTGTGCCCAGTTAGAAGTACGAGGATAATAAAGAAGAGGGAAGGAGGAGTATAAACAATAAGATCGTACCCTTTCCCATCTCTTCCTTGTGAAGAACGTGCCGCGGTGCTTGTTACTTCTTCTTTTCTTTAACGAAACCATCGATTTCTCCTTTTTAGGCTCTGATTTCCTTGTGGAGACAAATCCAAAAAAAATATTATATCCAATAATAAATAAACCACCCAACATCATGTTTACTTATTTATTGTATTTATTTTGGACATAATTGTGCCCGCTCTTAAAACTCTTTTTGATTTAATATCAGCTGCCAGTGGCCCTTCCCAGCCTGGGTAGCAAGGTCTGATTACTTTACACGTCCTCAATCCTCTCTCTCTCTTGGTTGGTAGTCGTCGATATGTTGATACGCGTTCCCTTTTACATCAGTTTCTTGAGGTCGATAACATCATTCTGGAGTTTGGATAGAAGCTGATCAAGCTCCTTGATATCGGCATCGCTCACGTCCGACGCCTCCGCCGCTGCCGCCCTAAGAGTGGCCGCTCTGCCTCGATCTACGACACACACACACACCACACACACACACACACACAGAGAGAGAGAGAGAGCAAAATCGAGATGGTTGGTTAGCCTCGCCACCCAAGAGCACAGCGAATGCTACAAAGGTGCATACCGGTGGGTTTGAGTGCCACGGGGGCCGATGGGGTGGAGAGCGGGGGCCGACCGGCCGGCGGCGGGGCGGCGACGGGCGGCCTGGCAGCGGCCTGTGGCGTGCTCGGCGGACCACCACTGCTACCAATTGGCGGCCGGGAGGCGGCGACGGGAGGCGGTGCGGCGTATCCCGACACTGCGCGAGGCGACGGGGCGGCCGAGGCAGAGGAAGACAGGGGAGGCCGGCTGCCGGCAGCCGGGGGCGGCGGACCGCCGGCCGAACCGCCGATGCCAGAACCGCCGCTCGTGAGGCCGGGCCGAGCGACTGCCGAGGGCGCCGGCGGACGCGCACCGCCTTCGCAGGAGAGACGATAGAGGGGAGAGGAGAGGGCGGTGAGCTTGGGCGGCGAGGGCGATGACAAGACCCACGGCGTGGCCGTGCAGCGGTGGAACAGTGAGACAGAAGTGGGGAGTGTACCAGGGGACTGCGGGGAGGGGGCAGCGCCGGACGCTGTTGATTGATTGATTGGTGTGACACAAACACCAGATTGGTGGGAGTGTCAGAATACCTCACAGATCGGGAGATCAAGAAGAGTTCGGGAGGGCGAGGAGGATGGAGCGCAGCGAGAATTGATTCTAAAGAACGAAAGCGGTTGATTGATGGGCTGGCGCGTACCGTAAGCTGATGTGGGCCTAGCACCAGCCACGGCGCCGTTCGGTCGAGCTGCGCCTGCGCCTAAAGAAAAGACGTAGTGAGCCACGAGCTGAATTAATGTAATTTGGCGTAGATGCCACACAACAATTGGGATGGGGCATACCGCCAGGCACAGCGCCAGGCGCGGGGGCGCCTCTTTGTTCGGCAGCGGTGATGAGCTGGACGTAGGTTGCAGGAAGGTATCCCACCTTTCCATTCAATTCGCCCGCCCACCAACCATTGTCGAATTGGCTGGTAATGTTGATGACGTCGCCCGCCTTGAAGGAGAGCTGGCGCTGCTCTGCGTTACCCGCGAAATCGTAGAGGGCTCGCCCCTTCGAGATGGTTCTAGCAGCTTGGCTCATTCCGTTGTGTATGTGTTAATTGATGATTTAAATCGAGGGAGGCTGCAGCGGAGGGGTGAAGGCAGCAGAAAGAATTGGCTGGCGATGAGATGAGGGGATCGAGAGAACAATCAAACAACAATCAAGTAAATCAGCTCAGCGGCTGTCCAGCAAAACAAGGGTCACCCTTGCCACCCAAGCAATTCGCGTTGCCATAAACGGCATTGGCGGGCTGGAATGCGCAGCTACATTCTTCCCATTCCTCCGCTCGTTGCCTGGCAGGTTGGCTAAACTGCGTGCGTGTGCGCGTGTGCGCGTGCGGTGATACATTTAGTGTGCGTGTGTTGCAAGATTGCATTGCAGATGATGATGCTGATACGAATGAAAAAATGAAGAAGAGGCTTCGCGACGAGGCCGGACCTCTCTCTCGTTGTTGGGGTAGTTGTTCAGCCGCGCCTCTTGCTGAGACGCCAGGCGTTGGGCTCGCGGTACTTGTCGAAGAGGGGCTCGACCTTCTCCTGGCGCTTGCGCTTGGAGAGCTTGGTCGGGTCGGAGACGCGGTAGAACTTGGGGGCGAACTCGACGAGCCACTTGGGTTCGATCATGAGGACCTCGCGCATGTACTCCTTGGTGGTGAGGACGAGCTCCTGGTAGATGACCCACTCGGGGTTCTTCTGGAAGAGGGCCGACGACGGGTGGATATATACAGGCTGGCCCTCGGTGAGGGTCTTGTAGCCCTCCTGGGGGTCCTTGCGCGCGGCGTGGGCGAAGAAGCCGCTGACGATGGCCTTGCGCACGGCGCTGTAGTTCTTGCCGGCGGAGGTTACCTCCATCTTGTAGCGGTCCATGATGGTGAGAAGCTGCTTGCGGATGTCCTGGGCGCGACGCATCGACCGGGCCTGGATGAAGTTCTCGTAGCACCACGGGTTGGAGAAGTTGTTGCTCTTCCACGCCTCGTAGACCGCGAGCAGGGTGAGGTGGTCGCCCTCGACCTGGTGGAACTTGGCCTTCTTCTGGTCGGCCTGCGCCTGCTTCTCCTTGGGTCGGTAGAAGACGTTCTGCACCGAGAGCATGGCCACCACCGTGAGGATCTCGTCGGCGCAGCCCAGCTCGACCGACGTGATGAGCATCTTCGAGAGCTGCGGCTCCAGCGGGAACTCGGCCATCTTGCGCCCGAGGCGCGTGAGCAGGCCCTCCTCGTCGAGCGCGCCCAGCGAGTAGAGCTGCTCCATGGCCACGATCAGCGTCTGCACCGGCGGCGGGTCCATGAAGTCGAAGCCCAGCATGTCGTTGATGCCCATCGCCTTGAGCGTGAGCACCGTGTTGGCCAGGTTCGTGCGCTGGATCTCGGGCACCGACGTCGGCAGCATCTCGTTTTTGTAGGCGCCCTCCGTGTACAGCCGGTAGCACTTACCGGGGCCTGTTCGTCCGGCACGGCCGGCCCTCTGCCTCGCGGCCGCCTGCGAGATCGGGCATACGACGAGCGAGTCCATCCCCATCTTCGGGTTGTAGACCTTCTGCTTGACGAAGCCCGGGTCGACGACGTAGTAGATGCCGTCGATAGTGACCGACGTCTCGGCAATGTTGGTGGCCACGACCACCTTTCGCGAGCCCCTGGCCGCCGGCTCGAAGATTCGCGTCTGCATCTCGGAGGGCAGGGCCGAGTAGACGGGCAGGATGACCAGCTCGGGCACCATCGGGCCGAGCGACTTCATTCGCTCGTAGAGGATCTGGCACGCCGTGTCGATCTCCTCCTGACCCGTAAGGAAGAGCAGGACGTCGCCGGGCGGCTCGGAGAGATGGATCTGCATGACGGTGATGAGAGCCGCGTCGAGGTAGTCGGTCTCGGGCGACTTGGTGTAGAGGATCTCGACGGGGAACGTGCGGCCGGGGATGGTGAAGATGGGGCAGTTGCTGAAGTAGGTGGAGAACTTCTCGGCATCGAGCGTGGCCGACGTGATGATGAGCTTGAGGTCGGGGCGGTTCTGCGTCGCCTTCTTCAGCAGGCCGAAGAGGACGTCCGTGTGGATGGTGCGCTCGTGGGCCTCGTCGAGCATGAGCACCGAGTACTTGGACAGATCGGGGTCGAGGAGGCACTCGCGCAGCAGCATACCGTCGGTCATGTACTTGATCTTGGTCTCCGGGCTGGTGCAGTCCTCGAAACGGATGGCGTAGCCGACCTCCTGGCCCAGGCGGCAACCGAATTCTTCGGCCACGCGCTTGGCGACGGACATGGCAGCCACACGCCTGGGCTGCGTGCACCCGATCATGCCACGCGAGGCGTAGCCGGCTTCGGCCAGGTACTGCGTCATCTGCGTCGTCTTGCCGGATCCCGTCTCGCCGATGACGACCAGCAATTGGTTGTCGTGCATGGCCTTGAGGAGCTCCTCGCGCAGCTTGAAGATCGGCAGGCTCTCGCGTTGCTCGATGATCGAGGTCTTGGTGGCCTGACCGTAGCGGGCGTTGGAGCCGCCGAGGTAGTTCTTCTTCCACTCGGGCAGCTCGTAGGTGGGCGCGCCGATGCCGCGCAGCTCCTGGGCGATGTGACGCTCGCCGGGCTCGGGCATGGGATCTTCCCAGGGACGGTTGAGATCCTTGGGGATGGAGTCGAGCATCTGCTTGCGCTGCTCGTCACGCAGCTCGCGTCGCTCCTTGGACAGGGCCGACTGGGTCATGGCCGCACGCTGGAGGGAGCCGTCGGGGTTGCGCACCACCTTGATCGGCGACAGCTGAATGTGGCTGAAGCGCGTCTGGCCACGCAGGAAGGGCGCCTCGACCTCGCTTAGCTCCACCTCGAGCTCCTCCTCGTTCTCCTCGACGTTGTTGAGTACGCCGTTGGTCTCGTCGAAGCCGGGCATCTCGCGCGCGTCGACCACGCCGGCAGCGGCGAGCTGCTTCCACTCCCACTTCTCGGGCGACGACATGCGCTTGATCGGGCGGTGCGGCGTGGACTCGTCCTCTTCGGCGCGCGATCGTACCCGCACGTTGGGCGCGCTGGGGTTGTGGCTGGTGTCCTCGTCGGTCTTGCGCGGCAGCAGGTCCTTGCCCGTCTGCTGGTCGACCTCGCGCATGGTCAAGCTGACCTTCTCGCCGGCCACGCCGAGCACCTTCACTTTCACCTTCTCGCCACGCTTGATGGCGTCGTTGGCGTTGGTGAGGCGACCACCCGCTCGGATTTCGGACACGTGCACGAGGCCCTCCTTGCGGCCGCGCACGCCTTCCAGCGACACGAAGCATCCGAATTCCTTGACGGTTCGCACAGTGCCGTCGTAAATCTTGTACTTGACCGGCTCATCATCGTCTCGCGCGGGCGGCTTGAACGCTGGCCTGTCTCGATCACGGTCGCGACCGTGGCGATCGGGGCTGCGGCTCCTGCGGCTTCGATCTCGATCCCTCCTATCTCTATCATAATCGTCATCTCTACCTCGCCTGCCCCTATCGTCGTCCCTTCCCCTCCCGTCCCGCTCTCTGTCTCTGCTGTGATGATCTCCCCTCTCGCGATCCCTCGAAGCCGGCTCGTGATCGTCCTCCCGCTTTCGCTTTCTATCGTCTGCCACCGGAGGGACAGGCTCTTCCTCCTCAACGATCTTCATCATGCGAGCGGCGTAGTTGTCTGGCACGGCGAGGCCAGGGAATTGGTTGGCTAGCACATTCGAATGGGCCGCAGCCACTTGCGCAGGGGCCGCACTACCCCCGCTCTGCGCCTTCGATGGCTTCATTCGCTGGATGATGTGGAAGAGCTTCTCGACCAGAACCTCGGGAAAATCGGCTCCATTCTCGGACAGCGCCCCCGAGAAGGCAGGCAGGGTGGGGTTCTTTTCCGCGATGTCGACGATGAATTCGGCCAGCACCTTGTCGCTCATGCCCGCGCCGAGGTGGTTCTCCAGCTCTGTGCATATCTTCGACACCAGCGACAAAAGCTGAAGCTTCTCTATTTCGTCCATCCTTCGCCACAGACTAATGCAATTCGAAACGCAGATGCGCAGGCAAGTGCAGAAAATAATTGGCGAGGAAAAGGTGGCGAAAAAGTTTTTTACTCCTGACATTCCGGGAATTTGTCCACATTGTCGCACACGCAACCACCGCGAGCTGATGGGCGCGTGAGCGATGCAGAGGGCGCAGGGCAAGGTCGATCGACTGCTAGCTTGGTCGTACGCAAGCACCAGGTCTTGTGTCTGCCCTGGACCATGGTCTGTGCCGAGCGGCCCGCACAAGAGAACAAAGCCATAAAAGGCAAAATGCTGTGAGATACCCTTCTCAACTCCACCAGCATGCACGTTGGCTTCTCTCTGTCTTTTTGTGTCCGGAGCTTGCACGATTATTTTCGGTCACTTCTCGCCACTGATCACATCATGCTCTTTGAAGAATCCGCAGGCGGACCACCACGGCCTCAGCTTGGAATTCCTGACGTGAGGTCACCCCCTCGTAACGATTAGATGACGCTGACGGTCTGGTATCGAGACCCTGTGCAACCCGAAAGCCGACATTCTGGGCCGGAAGCTGGCTGTTCCTTCTGTTTCTTCCTCCTGCTGTGCCAGCAGCTGCCACCTCGCGATTCCTTCCTTCTCGGCCGCGCACGAACGGCCGTGCCCTCGACGCGCACTACCATGCTGGCGATTCTGGGACAGTTCGTCTTCTCCCCCACCTTCGTGCTGGTGGCAACGCCAGCGCTCATACTCCTCGCGATCGTTTTCTACTACATACCCGCGGCTATGCGGATGCACGCCGCCACCACCCTGCTTAGTTTCGCGCCAATTGTTGCCTCGCTCACCTTCTTCTGCCTCGACAGTGCCATCCACTCCGCATAATCTTCTTCCCTTCACCAGAAATGAAACACAAAGAACGAAAGCGAAGCGGAAATGTTTTTATTTTTATTTTCTTTCAACAGAATATTATCTCTCCAGCCTTGTAAAACAATGGTTAAGACCAAAACTAGAAAAACAGTGGTGCCCTCCAGCTCTATTCATGATGTAAACACAGGCCTGGAATACTGTGCTTGTGCCTGGAGGTACAAGGTTACCTTCTGGTGACACCAACCCCACTCTGGGCCAAGGTTGGATTGGACCAGGTCATTTGTTCACCTTCTCCACACCTTTATTCTGTTTGGTCTCCACTCTCCTTTTGTGTGCTGCACATGTCATCCATCTGTTGTTCCATAGAAGGTATGATTTTACATGTATTATTTTTAATTTGACAGTGGTTGATGTTATTCTTGAGGGCACAAATCATCTACCTCATAATTTTGTTGGTTTCATGGTCTCTGCATTCAGTGACCCCTTGTTTTATTCTTGGTGCTCAAATTAGGAAGTTCAAGAAATGGGATGTTTCAACAGTTGATCTCTACAAATGGTGGCTGCCACAAGCAGCACCCACATGTGCCATCAACTTAATCCCAGTTGCAGGACTCCACCCAAGGTTATGCTACAAGTGAAACCCCCCCAACAAACACAAGAACACCTGGCCTGATTGTTTATTTTTTTATATTTAAAAAACCAATAACAGTTACAGTTTTGTGCAAATAGGAATAACATGTGCAGGGTTCTGCAGCCAGGAGGCGCTGACATACTGGGGAGGTGGTGGCCTCTCGCAGCGTGCAGGGCTGGCTGGGCAGGGGTGGTTCATGTGCTCGTTGACTTGCGTTCGTAGCGGTAGGCGATCAGCTCGAAAGGCGCGTCTGCACGCACAGACCACCACGCAACTGATCAGACCTATCCACGACAAACCACACGGGGAAGACGCTGGTTTGACCCGGGGGGGGGCACCTGTGGGTCGATCAGTCACACCCAACACCAGGGAGAGTTCTTGGCCTTCCTGCAGCGTTTGCGTGGCTCCCCTGCCGACAAGGACCTCGTTGATGTAGGTGCCATTGGTACTGTTTGTGTAGTTCACGATTGAACCGCGTTAGTATGTTGTCTCTGAGACGCTTGGGTGGTGGTGGGTGGTGGTGTGTGAAGGTACCTCGTATCCTCCACGACCACCTCGAAGCTCGGGTGCTTGAATTGCTTCAAGTGCTGCGGATTCTTGCGGTAGCAACGCACTCCGTACCTGTTCCGAGACAAGCGCAGTTTGGGTGAGAACGGACATCGACCGACCGACCGAAACCAAACGGAGAGCAGACGAGGCACACGGTCTGCGGACGTAACGTACCTGCACTCTGGCGCCCCATCGCTCGGCGACAGCTCGAGCGACGGCGTGTCGTTGCTCTCGTCACCTTGCGAGGCAAGGAGCAATCTTCGTTGCACGACAGAGACTTTGCAGTGCTTGGTACTAATATGTGTATTCTTGAATCGGCAGGCGGGGTGGCAAGTCGAGTGTCGGCCCATCAACACACCTGAGCTCACGCACGCACGGTAAATCACACACACAACACAACGAGCGTAAGACACGCTCACCAGACTAGGTCATGGAGCGAGCAGCGGGTCGCACCGTCTTCGGGGATGGCCACACTCTTGAACTTGGGGTTGAGGGAAACCAGCTTGCCAAACTGGCCGTACTCCTCTTCCTCTTCCTCCTGACGATCGCCTGCAGTCATCGCGCGTCAGCTTGTTTGAGGCCACCACATGAACACATTGGGCCACACATGAAGCAGTGGGTGGGCATACCGGCGCCGGGCCTGCTTCTGGAGCTGTGCTCGCTGCGCTTCTCCGTCTTCTTATTCCCCTGCTCACTCGTGGTGTGTCCCCGCTCCTCCCCACGGCTTCTTCGCTTGGCGCCTGCGGCCTGCTCCCTCTTCGTGCCCTCGTCTTCGTCCACCATCTTCCTCTTCTTCGACTTGGCGGGCACCACCCCGAATCCTGCAAGTGTAGACGCCCACGACGCAGTCTCCTGTCAGGCCACACGCGCAGCAAGGCGAGGGATCGTGTGTGTGTGTGTGTGTGTGTGTCATCGGTACCGGGCGACTCCTCGTCTTCAAATTCAAGCGGCGGCGTCGGTTCGTAGACTAGCGCATCGACCAGCGTGGGCGTCTCTTGGATGGCGGCCTTCTTGTTGCTGTTCGTCTTCTCCTTCTTCTCCTTCTTCCGTTTCTTGTCCGTGTTCTGCTCCTCCAGGAGGCGAGCCAGCGACGAGGCGCCCAAGCTCGTGTCCAGCTGCGTGGGCTGGCTGTCGATCTGCGTCGGGTTGTCGTCGGTCAGCGTCGGCGGCAGGCCCGCGCCGCTGCTGCCCAGCAGGTTAAAGGCGGGGAGGTCGGCCTGGGTGGGTATCGAACCCAGGCTCTCGCCCTCAGTGTCCGACAGCACGAACATCGAGAGGTCCATCTGTGTCGACGTGTTGAGCGCGTCGACCTGCGTCGGTGCGCGCATCAGCGACGACGGCGGGTCCTCCTGCGTGGGTCCCATCAGCGACGAGTCGAGCGAGCCCGGGCGCAAGCCCTTCCTCTTCTCCTTCTTCTCCTTCTTCTCCGCGTTGTTCTTCTTGCTAGCCGCCTTCCAGCTGCTCGAGGCATCGTCTTCATCCTCGTCATCCTCGTCTTCTTCGTAGGCGCCGCCCTTGACGTAGTCGTCGAGATAGACTTCATCGTCTTGCGTCGAGGTGTCGAGCAGCAGTAGCGACGTGTCCAGCGATGTGTCCTCCTCGAGCGCCTTCCCCTTGGGCTTGAGGCCTCCCGCGTCGCCGCGCCATCCCTTGCGCATGGGCGAGGCGCAGGGCGATGGCGGCCCCAAGTTGCGCCCGCGGCCGCCAGACCTGAGTCGAATGGGACTGACCCCGCCAAGCAGGCCTCCGTCGTCGCTCTGCGTGGGTCGATGGAGGAGGTCCGAGCTCTGGCTGATGTGGCACCGGACCTCGTCTTCGGTCTGCGTGGGCTGGCCCAGCATGGCGTCGAGGTCGTCGTAGGCCACCGACGAGTCGCCCTGGGACTGGGACTGCGACAGCGACGGCGACGACGAGATGAGGTCGGTTTGCGTGGCCTGCGACATCAGGCGCCGCCACTGCGACGCCGTCGGTCCGGTGGTCGTGGTCGAGCTGGACGAAGCGAGCGCAGCCTTTGCCTTCTTCGCCTTGTCCGCCCGACGCTTGCGCTTGCCGGTGGTGCCTGGCGACGACGGTGACGACGGCGCCACGGGCGACAGAGCCCAGGGCGACCGCGGCGCGCCGCCGTCGTGCTGCGTGGGCGAGTCCAGGTGGCGGAGGTACGAGTGCTGCGGCGAGGGCGTCGTGGGCGAACGCGGCGGAGTGGCGAGCGGCGACGACGACGCGGACAGCAGCGGCATCGGTGAGTCCGACTGCGTGGCCTGGTCGAGCAGCAGGTGGTACGGGTTGGGGCTGAGCGAGGGCGAGCGCGACGCCACCACCTCGGCCTTGGCCCGCTTGGTCTTGGCCCGGCCGCGTGACGATCGTCGCGGAGAGTGGTCCACCTGGGTGGGCAGCTCGTCCAGCTGGGTGCTGGTCGCCAGTAGCGGCACATCGAGCTGCGTAGGCAGCTCCTCCAGCGCGCCGGCGCTGCTGGTGGTGGTGGTTGCGCCCGACGCGGGTGCCTTCTCGACTTCTTCCTCCTCTTCCTCCTCTACTTCGTTGGCCTTGGCGACCGCCGCGAGGTTGTTTCTTCGCCTATTGAGCATGGTCTTCAGTCGGCCACCGCCGACCTGAGCAGCTGCTGTAGGCTTCGTTGTGTCGCCCGCTCGGCCCTCGATGGCCTTGATCATGTTCTCTGGCCGCTTGGTGCTGGGCTTCGGTGCAGGCTTCTTCGCGACCTCTTCTTCTTTGTCTTGGTCTTCCTCCCCCTCCTTTTCCTCGCCTCGAGGTTTGCTGCTCGCTTCTGGTTTCATCTCCTCTTCTTCTTGCTCTTCGTCCTGCTTGCCCTTCGACTTCTTTTTCGCCCGCTTTGCCCGAGTGTTGGCAGCATTTGAAGATGTCGCCGCTGCTTTAGGTTTGCTTTTGCTGGTCGCCTCTTCGCGCTTCTTGGGGACAGCACTCCTCATCCAGGGCAGTTTGCGCGTGGTCGCCACCACCGGCTTATCCATTCCCGCCAAAATCGATGCTATCAATTATCTATCGCTCCAAATCGATTTTGCTCCGCGATAGATCACTTCAACTTGTCGACGTGAAATTTTCGGGCTTGGAATGCGACGAATTTCATGTCGTCAGGCGCTTTGGGCGTGGCCTGCATGGCGTGTCCAGTGGTGCGCAGCGATGACGAGCCGAGCTTCCTGTGCACCGCGGCCGAGGCCCTGCTTCACTGGCGCGCAGCAGCTGAGTTCAAAGACGTGCTGGCCAGGGCCACACACTTTGGCGTGTGGCAGCACCAGACGCAGCGCGAGGTGCGCAACGGCGAGCAGGTGTCGCTGTTCCTGGTGTCGGTTGTGGAGGTGACCAATTGAGCGCGTGTCCTCCAATCAAGCTGCCAGCGGCCTACAAGACACCTCTGTTTGCATCCTCGTAGTACACTTTTGTTGGAGAGTATGAGGGAGATGCGAGAGAAGATACAATGTGTTGTATTGTTGGAGCAAATGACAAAGTCAAAAGAATACAGAATTGACTATTTAAGGCGTGTGAGACATTGGGAGTTTGGAGAGCGTGGTGGAGTCTATAACTGGAAGAGAGTGTTATCTCCAACACACCCTCAATCAATGTAGGTTATACTGGAAACTGGAGGAGACAAAGAAGGTCATTCTGCTTGATGTGAGGGAGAGCCTTCATTAGAATGTTGGCCAGCATTGTGGTTGTTGGTTCATGCTTGAGGGTGATGAGTCCTTTGGTGATCATGTCATGGACATGATGCAGTTTGATGTTGTAGTGTTTGATTCTTGAGTGGAACATGGTCTGCTGCTGGTTGGCAATCATGATTGTGCTCTGGTTGTTGTTGCTCTGGTTGTGGTTGTGATTGTGCTCAGATGATTGGGTTGGACTGGTCAATGTTGAGGCTGATGAAGAACTTGTGAACATAGATCACTTGCTTTGTTGCTTCAGAAATTGAGTTGAATTTGGCTTCAGTGGAGGAGAGAGTGACAGTGGTCTGTGTCTTTGAGGTCCACATGATGGGTCCTCCTGTGAGTAGGAAGAAGTAGCTGGAGATGGACTTGTGGTTGATTGGGTTGGCTCCCCAGTCCATGTCACAGTACCTGATCAGGATGAAGTCAGTCAGAGAGATGGAGTCCAGTCGCCTGTATGTGATGGCCAGATCTCAGGTGCCCTTGAGGTAGTGTAGGATGTGTTTTGCTGTGGTCCAGTGTGTGTTGTTGAAGGACACCATGAAGCAGGAGAGGTAGCTGACAGTGTATGCAATGTCTGGTCTCAACACAATGGCAATGTAGAGCAGCTTGCCAATGATTTGGCAGTATGGTATCTTGTCACTCAGTGTTTCACTGTTGTTGAGTGTGAGTCCAACCTCCATGGGTGTGGTTGCTGGGTTGCAGTTGCTCATGTTGAATGTCTGCAGGAGCTTGTTGATGTGTCCATGTTGGTGGAGTTGCATGAGTCCATCAACATGGTTGTAGTTGATCTTCATGCTGAGGATTGATGTGGCAGCACTGAGGTCCTTCATGGTGCACTTGTTGGATAGAATCTTCTTGATGGTGTTGATGTCATTGGGTTTGGTGATGATGAGGCAGTTGTCAACATATATAACTTGTGGTCATTTGAAATGAGAGGTCACAAATGACTGTGGAATTTTTGTTGTGCTAAAATCTCCATTCCACACTGATAAAATCACTTTTAACTCCACAAATTCCAAGTTTTTATGAAATCATTTTCATCTCAAGTCCCTCAATATCACTTATAAGCAGCGGTCTAGCATGTCAAAATCACACATGCAGATCAAAATCTTCAAAACTGACCTGTAAATCAAAAATGTCAAATCTCACATGATTTTAGCACAACAAAAATTCCACAGTCATTTGTTACCTCTCATTTCAAATGACCACAAGTTCAAGGATGTCCATGATGGAGGTGTCCACCTCCATGTGAATGGGGGACTGCTTGTTGTGATGTGAGTTGAAGGTCTGATCAATGCTGGGGCTTGTGCTGTCATCAAGGGGCACATGCACTGGTTCAGGAGTGCTGGTGGCCATGTTGTGGATGTTGTGGTTGTTGCTGGTCAGCATGACACTGGGAGTGTTGAGTGAAGGTGATGTAAAAAGACATTGTGGTTGAGTGGGAACTGGGTACCCACATGCAGTGTATTGAGGTATTGTGGGTTGGCCTGAGGTAGTGGGCCTCAACGCTGTGCAGGTCCAGCTTATTGCATTTGTGGTGGGGGAGTAGCAGGTAGGTGTGCATGCTGAATGGGTGAAGGTGACTGAGGGTGGGTACATCACCATGTAGCATCTTGTGGGGGGAGTGGTTGTTGTTGGCACATGTGGGTGCAATTGTGGATGTGGACTGATGGCCTTGGCCCAGAAGGAGTGAGGTAGCCTGGATGAGAAGAGCATGGCCCTGGCCATCTCAATGATGTCCATTGTACTGAGGTGTGTATGGTGGTGATGGGACATGTTCAATGCTGGATGTGTGCAGGAGAGCCTGGGTGTTGTGGCCAGTGTACTCACCACTGTGGTCCAACTGGAGCATGTGGATGTGTGTCTCAGCTGGCAGGGAGGCGATGAGGTTGTGGAGCCTGTTGATCACCTTGCTCTTGTCCTTGAGGAAGTAGACAGTGGCATGGCACAAGTAGTCATCAATGAAGGAGACAAAGTAGGTCTTGCCAGTGAATGAGCAAGTTGGGAATGGGCTGCAGATGTTGGACCATGTGCATGGGTGCATTGGAGTGGGGGGCTGGGCCAGGTCCAATGGCCTTGTGGTGTTGCTTGGCCTGAATGCAGAAGGTGCTTGTGGAGGGCTTGGAGCTGGGCGCAATGGCCCTGGAGGTGGCAAGCTTGAGGTGGTTGATGCCAATGTGGCCCATACACAAGTGCAGGTGGTTGTAGGTAGTGGGGCATGGTGTGCTTGCAATGAGGGCCTGCTGAGCATGGGCCAGGGGCAGTAATGACCATAGCAGGTGCTGGATGGTGGCACCAGATCAGTCAAGGTGGATGGTGCACATAAGCTGGACTAGATGGCTGGTGGAGATGAGGTTCTTCATGAGGTCCAGGATGTAGAGGACGTCCTGTAGCACAATATAGACAGTGTGGCCATTGATCAGCATGGAAGTGCAGATCTGTCCACTGCTGTGGATAATGAGGGCAGTGTTGTTGCCAAGGATAATACTATGGGTGAGGCATCTGGTGTTGAAGGAGTCAAGCCACTTGTGGTGGCAGGTCATGTGAGTTGATGTGTGTGCTTGTCAGATGCAGGTGAGTTGTTGCTGATGAGGAGCATCTTGGTTGGTGGCTGTGTGGGTGATGGTGATGTTGGCCTGCTTGGGCGTGAGGAGGGCTGTGTGGCGCTTTGCATTGCACTGGTTGATGCTGTGGCCAGGGTGGGTGCAGTAGGTGCAGGTGAGTGCAGGGTTGTATGGGAATTGGTGTCCTGTCTGGTTCTTCCTGTTGTTGGACTGTCTGGTGGTAGTAGATGTGGTGGCGATGTTGGCACTGCCATTGCCACACATGTGTCACTCCTTCCTCTTGGGGCGGTTCCCTGCACTGGGGGTGTTAGTGCCCTGGTTAGGATGAGTCACTGTGGTAGAGCTGGGCTGAGCAGTCAACTGGGTGGTGAAAAGAAGTGAATAGTGACTGGTGTCTGCCATGGTAGTCTTGTTGATGATTGAGGACTTGTGCTGGTGCAGTGTGGACTGTGTGAAGTTGAGTGTGACAATGGCCTGAGTGTGAATGATGGTGGCGATAGTGGAGTACAATGGTGGTAGGCCACGCAGAATAAAATGGATTGCCCATGTGGGCTTGAACTTGTAATTGTTGGTGGTCATCTGTTTGATTAGGACATTGATCTGGTTGATGTAGCCAAGATCATCTTCATCTCCAACATCAGCCCCGCAAATCGCGCAGGCCAAAGTTGATGCTACGGCCCGCCGGTCGCCCACCCAGCCATCCTCACTCGGGCCTTCGACAAATTTGTAGACACATTACGAGCAATGTGTGCTGTTGTGGGGACTAGATGTAGGCACGTGCACACACCTTTGACAGTATCGACAGAAGGCAGGCGCTACGAACGAACATAGCACATCTCCGCTGGGATTCCAGCTGTTCGATCACGTCTGCGACTGTCCCATTTGCATGGTGCGCTTGCCGCACGTGACTCTCCACCACGCCACCCTTTTTCGTTTTTCCGTTTTGTTCAATTCGAAAACGAAAGCAGCAGCCGTCACTTTCTCTCTTTCTCTTTCGTCGGTGGACTGACTCTTACTCGTCGGTGTCGTTGATGAGCGGATTGTAGGCCAAGTCTCCGTCGCCTGTTCGCGTGAACTCGAAATAGCTCCCTCGGCTGCAACACCACCGGCGATGCCACAACGCGTCAGCACGAGCGAGGCCATTTGAGAGTAAAGTGGAATGGAGCGTGAGCGTACCGATCTGCCTTGAGGCACAGGAGGAGGACAAAAAAACTGGGCAGGGAGAGCAGCAACAAAAAGCCGCCCAGGCCCACCAGCACCCAAAAGATAATCACCTCCGCCTTGAATCCGAGGTACAGCGAATCTGAAATACGAACACGGGGCCACATCCGTGTATGCGTTGGTGGGTAAGCGCGCACTCGTTCGGGTGATGATGGATCGCGACGTACCCTTGACTTGGTCGGCATTGGCCTCGGTGAGGCCCGCGTACATGTGGATGTACACCACCGGGTAGATGACGTCCAAGCGCACGTCGGGGTTATAGGTGGTCATCTGGAAGTAGGTCTTCGACGGGTCCAAATAAATATTGATCTGCACCGACTCGTCGTACCACACCACTATACAGCGCCAGAAGAGAAAGAGAGGGCGGGTGAGAGAATCTTCTCGTTGCTGCGCGTCAGGTGTGCTCGGGTGAGCGCCAAGGTACCGTTTCCCGTGTTGGGCTCAACGTCAATACGGGTGATATCAGCGGCAGGATCGGGCACTTGGCCTTCGATGAGGCTGGTGTACTTGGGGTCGGCCAGGTACATGTGGGGGTTGCTGAGCATCAACGACGTTCCATTGTGGAAGCCCGTCAGGTTGCAGAAACCTGGTGTGTCACAAATCGTTCCATAACAACAGCACGATGAGTTAGAGAGCCTCGCTTTCGCCTGATCGTTCGTGGGCGTGGCAGTACCCTGGATAGTTTGGTAGAGGGTGGCATTGATGGCCCAGGTCTCGTTTGCGAGTGTGTAGCGGATCGTATTTACTCCTCTGTGTAACGAACCGGTCAGGAGGTTTGCTTGTAAGGCAGTTAATAGAGGGTGGGGTGGGGGTAATGCGTACTTGTGGTCCATGTAGCCCAACGGGACAAGGTGCATGTTTCGCACGTAGTTGGAATCCCTGGTGTGTCATGTAGATTGTTGGAGCGTCAGAGTGTTAACAACATAGCTACACTGCGAGAGACCGGGAATTTGGCGATTGTGTATTTCATACCATGACCACAGCTCGGAGTCGAGGTCGAGGAAGGGGCGGAAGAATCCCAAGTCGTTTACTCCCTGCACAGGGATCGGCTCTCTGCGCGTCATGAGAACGTGTTTCACCTGTTAGATCACTGCGACCGCAGTGGTCGGTGCAATCGGGGGGGGGGGTATCGCGTACGCGTAGACATCTTCTATGACAGTTTGGCCGAACCACTGAGTGTAAACTTGCACTTGGTTGATGTCGTCCTTGCCCGTGAAAACCACGTCGGGTCCATGCCTCTTGCGCGCCTTCTCCGGGGTTGTTTCGTTACCTACGCTCAACCAGGGCATTATCGGTTTCCGCAGTCAGCCAGCCGACAGTAACCCGGCGTGGCGCGCAGGCACGAGACAAGGTACCGAGAATGGAAGCGTCTGGTTGCTCCGGCGAAAGCAATGCAAGCAGAGGATCGGTGTTCTCCATAAGCCTGGGCGATGGGAGTGAGATATGACCGTGGTCACGCTGTGAGGCCCATAGGTACACACATGTGATGAAAGCGGCAGCGGGGCGTACCATTCGTCCACCGTGCGCGTAGTGAAAAGACCACCGCCTTTAGCGATGGCGTCTGCCATCACCTTGGGCGAGAACTCGGCCAACATGTAGAGAAAATACACGTAGAACTGCGGGTAAAGAGAAGGAAGCCTCGTCAGAGAGAGAGACCATGTACGTTGACATCACAAGGTGTCGGGAGCAAACGTACCGCGTCCGCTTGGCCCTAGTTGTGCCACACACGAAGAAAGAAGTTAGCCAAGAGCGACATGGGAGGGCTGACCAGGAAGTTGTACCCTGCCGACTCCCCAGGTCTCGCGAACGTAAGTGTCATTGTAGTTTATCGGGTTGACCGTTGCTGCGATATTGTAGAGAAAGAAAACGCGTCACGTTGAGCCATTCTTGAAGGCGATGTGACTGAAAGGTTTCGTCAGTGGGAACGTACCCTGAATGAAGACGGCCAGATTCAGTGCCGAGAAGAGGCCCACCGGTCCGTTGAGCAACTGCTTGCTCTGCTCACCGACACCCACAACCAGGGAAATATCAGGCGCGCGGAATCGTTTGGAGAGGGCACTAGGTGGGCAAGGTAATACATACGGCGTTGGCAGGAATCCGAGCGGCCGGGTTGATTCCCCAGAAGACGCCGAGTTCGGAGGAGGCCGGGAACTGGGTTCCAGGGTAGAGCGTGGTCACCGACACTCCACCAGTGACCTGGGCCGTGCCCCACTGCAGGTATGCTGCAATAGTGACCAAAACGAGCGCTCGGTTAGGCAACGTGCGATCGGGCAGCGTTTGTAAGACACGCACCCAGGTCGTTGAGCTCGGCCACATCCCATTGCTGCAGGAGTGACGGTACGACGAGGCCATCTCGCGCACGCTTGTACCAGGCAAGCAGTGCGCTCACCTGTCAAGTGTGATGATGTGGAGTGTTAGCAGCCCACACACATTGCCTTGCGACAATGATAACCGACCTGATCTGGCGTAAGTTCAAATGCAGTTCTGATCTCCTCAGTCGCATTGGCATCGCCTAAAAGCGCATGTAATCAGATTTCCCCTCCTGATGCAGGCGCACGAGGGTAGGAGCGTGTAAGCGACTTACCGTTCAGAGCCTGGCGCCAGGTAGTGGTGGACTTCGTGTCCGTAGCGACGAGCGAGAGTGGCGTTGCAGGATTGAAGAGCATCTCTGCACTAGCCAACGAGATACCACTGAAGCAGAAGCAAAGGTGAGCTCATCGACGCGTTCGACATTCTGCGTGTTTCAGAGTGGTGTACCTGGGCGCTGCGGCATCGAGTGAAACCTGCATGTAGGTCCACTCGGGCGAAATGAGCTTCGTTTGATTGGCCCAGTTGTCAAAGAAAGCGAGTGTATTGGTTCCGTTGGTGAGCTTCCCTTGCTCTTTTGCCAGCACGCCCGCCTCGGTCTGCCAAGTGCCAAGTTGTATGCGCAGCTAACGTTAGATCGAAGAACACGCTACGCAAGGAAAGGAAAGCTCGAGAGAACGGCGCACCTGGACAACCAAGTCGGGAATCCACACCTCCCACATGAAATCGAAGAACAGCTTTATAGCAGGACCCGTGATTGCAACGGTCAGAAGGCCTTCGCCTCCGGCTTGCGAGAGTGCACCAGGGTAGGCTGGGAGAAGAGAGAATGAGCGTGAGCCTACTTTCAGAGGCCAATCCACTGCACGACAGGGTTGGGCGCGTACCAGGGTTGGTATTGACGATAACGTCGGTGTCCGGGCCAACAGAGAGCTCGGGAAGGAAGACGTAGCGTGTCATCGTGTTGTATTTGACCTTGTTGCCGCCTTCGAGCCACTCGATATCAATGAGATCCTTCTTGTTCCTGAACGGTTGCAGTTGGACGGTGAGCTCTATGTCGCACCACCGCACACGCACACATGAGGGAAAGGTATAAGCACCAGTAGACGTAGGGTCCCACTTCCTTGACGATGGGCAGTGCGCCATTGCGCACATCTTCGAGGTTGGTGATGTTGTAGAAGTGCGCCGCAATGTACAGCGTTGGCGCGTCGCTGGCGTACGTGTTCTGCCAGTGTTTGTAATTTGTTGCTTCCTGTGGTGTGGTTGGACGGTGTGCGTGGTGCGCAATAAATAAGAGAATTAATGTAAATAATTGCAGCAAAAATAGAGAGGGAAAGATTGAGGGCGGAGAGCGTACGGGTGAATCGATGATGACTTGGTCATAGATCCCACTCTTGATGAAATCCCTCACGCCAGCCTGTGCAAGCCAAGCGCCCCCGAAGAGAACAGCACCCAGCAAAACCGTGAGTGCTGTCACCACGAGACAGCACCAGGTCTTCTTTCGCACCATCTAACCTTCTGGGAAGGGAAAGAGAATTTGGGAGCTTCAGATGAGTTGATAATCTCTTGAGATCTCAGAGCAGGACGCGATGCAGCGATGGCGAAATCGATGGATGTGCGCGCAAACCTTCTTACCTTCTTTGCACGTGCGGCTTGGCGTAAGCTGCTTGCCCTTGTTCGCGCTTCTCTTTCGAGTCTTCTCTTGTGCCCTTGCTCTCTACTCGAATTCTTACCGGCAGCTGTGCCATTGCCCTTCATTCGCGAAGCAAGAAAAAGTCCGCCGCCCTTCTTTCCGTTATGGAATGCAAGGAATCAACTGCTTGTTCTGGGCAAAATAGTTCGAATATTTAAACAGAAGAAGCGGAAAGGAAGAAAGAGAAAAGTTGCGATCCTCCGTCATCGATGCGGTGGTGATGGTACAGTTTGATGCGCTCAAGCGGATCAGGAGGATTCGGGGGTCGACGCAAAGAAGCCGGTGGCGTCAAGTAGCTTTCGCCGCCAGGGCAGGAGCATGCCGGATCTCATTCTGTTGAGCTGCTCGTCGGACCACCTGCCGCGATGCCACAAGCTCGTGTTAGAGCACTCGACACACGCGATACGACACGCACACTCATCACAGCTCGAGGAAGCAGGTAATCGAACCTGCCGAGCGAGGCCGACTGCTTTCGATTGGGTCGGCTGAGGTTGTGCTGCTTCTGCCACGCCTTGAGCGCCTCGAAGC